ACCTTGTTATCTCAGATTCTCCAGCATCTGCAGTTGCTACTATCTCTATCAAGATTAGTACCTTGCTTGTCAATTACGTGGAAGAAATTCAAGGCAAACAGCTATTCCTTTGAATAGCATCGCTGGCTCAATTTTAATGGTGGGGATCAATTAATTTGAAGTAGCAGTATATTTATGGAAACAAGAGTAGAGATTTCTGGAAAAGTTCAGCAGGTCTGGCAGCATCTGTGGGGAGAAATCAGAGTTAACATTTTAGGTCAAGTGGCCCTTCCACAGAACTCAGTATATTTATGGAATTGGTTCTCTTTGAGCTGATTATATTCAAAAGTGGATTTTTGATAACAAACTTCTTAAGTTTGGCTTGAAATATATGTTCCCTTTAATCAATACTGAAACATTGAAATTTTGTTGCAGAAGCCGTTGAAAGGCATAATGAAGATCTGTTCAATGTAAGAAAAAAAAACAATGTGAAACTGATGTAGCTTTTCTTGTGAACACATTTCCCTGTGCCATAACCTCTGGCCACTTGCCACAGCCACAGTGTGATCTGAAATATTGTACTTTCTTCACAACAAATACCAAAATTATTGTGACATCTTCTGCACAGAACATCGAAAATGTGTTGCGACATTTTGAAGAAGGGTAACTGGACTCAAACTTTAATTCTGTTTTCTTTCCAAAGATGCTACCAGACCTGCTGAGTTTCTCCAGCAATTGTTTATTTTTAGATCTCTATCATCCACAGTTCTTTGTTTTGTTTCACTGTAAATGTGCTCTTTAAAAATGTGCTCTTTGGCATCCATCCCACCACTCTTGATTTGAAGACTAACGCCACCACCACCATGTTCTCTTCACACTGCCATCCACAGCTGCCAGGCTGTATGTTGTCTCTCTTCCCTTGGGCCAAACTGCTCCTGATATTTTCAGGTCTTGTCTGCAACCACTGCAAACTTTCCATCTACTTTTCTGCCAGCCTCATCACTGATGAGCAGCAAAATCCAAATGTTCTGGAGTACTCCCATGAGATTGTGAGAGAGGCATAATTTTATCCAGAAAGTATGTCTCATGCAACTAATTCACCCGAGTAGGCGTGTCTAACTTGTTCTAATACTGTAAAAAAAATGTTTGTCCATCTCCTAGTTTCCCTGTAAGCCTGTAAAGGGTGATAAGTTTTTTTTTAATGATTACTATTCCATGGTTTATGACTGGTTCTTATTGTTGTTAAATAAATGAAAAGTGGTAATGAAAGGTATGTTCAAAAGAGATAAGTTCAAAATGGATTGTTATATCTGAACTGGAAAATAAGTAATGAACTGACAAAATGGCAAACAGGTAATTAAAGTGTCAACTGTACTGGGAAGAAAATTATGAGAAAGCATAGGTAGTTCAGTTAACCAGAGTGGCAATTAACTGGTATTTTATGGCCCTGTTCTCACTGTCTTGACAGCGCACAGGTGCCAAAGTGTGTCAGAGCACTAGGAGGTAGAAGGGGGTGAAAATGATGCAGCAGCTCAGGTCAGCAGCTGGGCCTCCAAAGTACCATTTGGCTGATGGCACTTGTTTGCTTTGAAAGGAGACTGGGAGGAGGTGGGCAGGTAGGAGAAAATAGAAGGAAAATAACTCCAATCCAGCTGCCATGGGTAACATGCTCCTCCTGAGAAAGAGGGAGCTGCACCCACTGGGATACATGTGTCCAGTTGAATTGGACTCTTAATTACAACCCAGTAAGGGTTTCTCAAATTGTGCTGGTCTGCTGAGCCATGCACAGCATGGCATTCCTGAGAGGACAGGCTCTGGCCAATAAGGATATTGTGGAGCAGAAGCATTCAGACAGGAAAAAGAATAGTAGGAACCTAATGACCAGCCTCAGTATCATGAAAAGTATAACAGACCATGCAGAGGGTTCTTGAAATGGGGCTAGCGAATCACTGGAATTGCTTATACATGCATGTCTTGGATGAACCTACCAACCTCATCCTGACACTGAAACTGATAGCACCTTTGGGACTCCACATTAATGCAGGTACATGAAGCAATACAGAAGTTGCTTACAATGATTCGATGTTCCTTCACAGAATGCATTTTAAAGAACTTCCCTAGAATGCAATCTATGTGAAACATCTGTAAACTGACAAGAACATCCATTCTTATGCTTAGCCTTACTGTAAAAACCCTCAGGAAAGTAACTTACATCTTTCTGATTGAGGGGCTACATTGACTTTAATAGAGATTCATAATTAATGATAAACACTCTCAATGATATTTTTAAAGCTAATTTTATACTTGTGGAATATTAAATTACTGTATTATGACAAAAATAATCCACATTTTAAAATAATGTTTCATGCACATATTAACATTTTAGTTTCTGAACTAAATTATAGTTTATTTTCATAATTATATCTAAAATATAAATTAAATGTGAAAGATAATGCTGTTTTCTTTCTGGTTTCTGTCCATGAGGATACTTCAAAGTGAGTGGGTGTTTACCCTGCTTATTGACATCACTGCTGGTGCATGCTTGGAGATTCCCTTGACTTTGAACCACATTTAAACTGCTATTGGGAAAGGAGAAATCCATGCCACAGAGATCACTGGACCTTGTGGACACATTTTTCTGATGTTAATGGTGAATGTTTTGCTTCACTGTTAACTATAAAATCCATTATAGGCCATTATGTATGTTGTTAGTAACTTGTATGCTTGTAGTTGTCATAACACTGTGCTGTGAGATTAATTTGTTGGAACTGCATGTACGGAAGTTATGCTTTTCAGTTTTTCAAAGTCAACACTCTAAAGACAATGCTGTGAACCTGATTCTGCATGAAGACCACACAGATTGACTCTTTTGAATACTGAATGTTATTTTTGGAATTTGTATATTGGTTAATTGGTGAAATGAAACAAGTCTGGCTTTGTCATTTCCTTGAACATGTGCTTTTCAATCAAGGTTTATTTTACCTTAAGGAAGAAAGGGTTAATTGAAAAATCCTTCGTAGTTGAACAACAATTATTACTTAATGCTCAGGGTATCAAAACAAAAGTGGAATAGGGAAGATAATTGTGAAGGCACCCATGCATTATTTTCATGAATTAGCCATTTTCTTAGCAGTTCATACCAAGGGAAATGGGTGGAGTAATATGCAGTTTTCAAAGCCCCTGTTTTTGGCTGTAAAGAAAGAAAAAAGTCTATTATGTTGAAGTGAATCAGAACTGGAAGCATAACTACAGATGCTTAATGGTAGGAAGGTAATTGAGATCCACCCAGTTGTTCCAAACTTTGTATTCTGGAGTCATTCTCAACTGACTGAGAGACGTCTCGCTTTGAGTGTTCCTTTTTATTCCAATCATGTTTCCATTTTCCAGTGTTAGGGTGTATTCCTTTGTAAAACATTGTTTCCTTTATTACTTTTTGCTGTTGGAAAAAAATGACAGAAAAAATAATTAACACTGTTCTATCAAGATTACAATTTCTGGTTCATCAAATATTGTAATTTCAAAGTAGACACAGAGACAATTCTTACACAAACACGGAAACAAATGAAATTTGATCTTGGAACTACTTTAAAATTGTACCAGCCCCATGTGGTCACCTGCTGCATGTCCCCAAACAAAGTGGGCATTAAGTGTTGGGCTGCTGTAATGCAGCAGGTATTCTCAGATGAATCCTGGAAAAGCAGTTGAATCTGGCTATAGTGGAGATAGGATAGATGATTATGCTGTATGCAGAGAGAGGAGGTACTCCTACACCCCCTGGATTCACAAGAAGGAGTTTTCATAAAGTTTATGATGATTGGAAGGGACAGAATTTGCTGAAGAATCCTGAGGAGGGGAGGTTCTAACTAACAGACATGCTGAGCAGAGGCCTGCTTTATGCATGTACTAAGTAGAAGTGTCTCCTCTTCCAATTTGCAATTATTATTTTTTCAGAAAAGAGATGCAAACCCATTTGACCTTGATTTTGTTCTTAATTACAGGTGGCTGTTCAGTGTAATTCTGTGCGTAATTGTTTCTAAATTGTCAAATGTCAAGTTTAGATTATTTTACCTTGTTAGGGCACCAATACTAAATGTGAACATATTTTACCTTGCATTCTATAACAAAATTGTTGCGTCTTGATTTCAAATAATTCTGTCATTTATTTTTGCTTCTCCTCTTTATTTTGCTTTCATGACTCAGGAATAGTTGAGCCAATTTGATCTGCTTTCTCCCCTCTCTGAGATTAATTAATTCAATAGAAATTGAGGGAAAAACAGAATTGAATTTGATTTTTCAATCTCATTGGTGTGTTCCAAATGAAATTAATATTTAGGAAATTCAGATTCATTTAAAAACACAGGTTCATTCCAGAAGAAAAGCATCGGATCACTTGCAGCATTCTCACTGCACAATCTAAAGGTGCACCTTCAAGTTACTCTCCAGAGGTTAAATATATAGGTAGGTTCAAATATGGGAAAGATTTCCACTTGATGGCAGGTCAGGTTTTCTTGCATGTTTGCATTCTTTAAATCTCATTATAATTAACAAGCAGGTAAAAGACCAAAATTTAGTGCTGGGCTTATAGGAAGTTCTGCCCCTGCCAGGATTTTCTGGGCTCCAGCTTTGATGTGTCATTTTTAAAAGGCACCCAGTCAGCACTTCATTCTCTGCAACCCAGGACCATCCTTGGATGTCGCATCATGACTTCAATCAAGTCCCAGAGGAGATGCCTGACATCAGACAGCAATGCCTGTTTGGATCTTCTGCTGAAGGTGCTTTGTGAGTGTAGAAATGTCCTCTTTTCATGGGCTAGTATTAGGAGGTCAACCCGAGTGACAAAAGCTGCACTGATGGAGGTGGTTAGCCCCTACAGCAGGCGGAATTGCGACTAGTTCCTGTGATGCAAGTGAATGAATGGTCTTTGTTGCACTGCCAGGATAAGTTTCATGCCCCTATCAATCTGATGAATACATGTCACTTCATTGCCCACACACTGCCAAACTATAATCTTGCACAACAGTATAGATGCCTCTTTCCCACTTGCCCAGGGTTCCCACATCAAACACAAAAAGTAGTTTCACATGAGCAGATTATGCACCACCAACTCACTGATCTTTCAACACAACTTAAAGAACCTTGACACCATATAGCTTCTCACCAAAGGCTTGCATCGGTGAAGGAAAACACAAAATACGGCATCAAGGTAAGTACTTCACAGGAATATCAGGCATAGGCACACATAATGTGAAAAGCTTTATTAATTACCATCAGCTGTAGTTCTTTGACAAAACTGAAGGACCTTGTATCCAGAATCGTATAACTATCCCATACAACAATGTTCTTAAAAGTAACACACATAGTCAATCACAGCTCTGGGGCCTTGTGTCTCCATCTGCATCTATCTGCGCAGGTAAAGTGCTCAAGTAACCATGCTAACATATTGTTTCTTTGACACTTGCAGGAGAAGAACAAGCACAACTAGTGCAGGAGAACATAGGCAGGGTGTGGGATGCCTGCCGTTGGAGTGCTCACAAGGTTTGAGGAGGCGGCACAGACTCTTCCTGAAGAACAATGGGAGCATGTGTATGCTGAAGGAGAGATTGAAGTTGCCCAGATGCTTTCTGAGAAATTCCCTAAGAAGTTAACACCAAATACCAAGCAGCAATGCCTGTATAAAACCTTTCATAACGATTTTACAACATGATAATAACAATTTTTATCTTTTGCACATAGTCAAACAAGGGGTAGGAGATGAAGAGCCCCTGCTACAATACCCAACTTTCAAAGCCCCAGTGATGAACCCTCTGAGGAGGAGAAGCCTGGATCCTCAGAGGATGATACGTCAAGGCATTCACCCCACCCTCCACCATGCCACCTCCTTCTGACAGTGACCTAAATGCCTCCATCGGCAGGCTGAACAGTCTGGCACCTATGCAGAAGACACCCCTCCCCCACTCCTTTAGGCCCTGAGTAACCAAAGAATGTCCATCAATGTCATCTGAGGCAAGACAGACAAGTAGTCAGCATGCTCTCATAAGCTCAGCCATGGCCATCAAGATGGTACCACATGATCATGGTAGAAAAAGATTAAATAATACTGAAGACACTTGGGGTCACAAATGTAATAGTTCTGTCAGCTTGTCCAATATACCACTTCTTTTTTCCACATTCCTGTGGTTTCATTCATTCTCATTACTCTTCTAACTGTTTTTCATATCATTGTAGACTACTTTAAATGTTACAAAGAAAGCTTAATGAAAGATCAGAACAATAATTGGGCATTAAGGTTAGCATAGATAATGAACCGCTTTCCTGATTTAATTATTTATGTCAGTGACCAGAAAATTTGCATTACTGCAAATATAGTGTCAAAGCTCCATGCACAATTGTCCAGGCTGTGCCCCGGTCACATAAAGCTCCATATCATTTATTTGGTCTTGCAAAATGTACCATTATAGTCAAACAGAAGATTATAATAAAGCATAATGCAAATTCTCAGAACTGTACTTGAAATGAATTTGTCACAATCTTCCCCCATAAAAAAGTGCATTGATGGTAGCTGCCTTGAAAAAGAAGGATCCAGTACCAGAGCTGATGCAACTATTCACAATATCAATTAACAAAGGGGGCCATAAGGGTCTTCAACAGTTTAATGAAAACAAGGTTGGGAGAATACAAAGTAAGTCAACGACAGGATGAGTTCAGAGAGTAAATTGGGACAGATAGGAAAGGAATTAGAACATGATACAGCTCTCAGCTGTGCTGGGAAGGAGCCTGCGGGCAGGTTTCAATTGGTGAGAAAGGTGAACTGGGTTGGGATGGTCTAAATGTGGGCAAAGCTACAAAGATAGTTCCAAGTGATGGGCCCAGTCTTAGTGGCAATTAAGTCTGTGAGCTGTTCGTACTTTATTCATCAAACAAGGAACAGAGGAATAGTTTAAGGAGATACTGGTAGTGGAAAAATGGTCTGCACAATCATCCTGGAACAATGGCTAATTTGGGCAGAAGAAAGTGAAAGCCTGATAGCACTTTACATAGTTTAGCCGGGGCTGGGAGTACATGGCTAAACCAGTTATGCGATGTGCTCAAGTTTGTGAACTTGGACTTTAGGCAGCAAAGAATGAACAGTCAGGTTAGATGGTTATAGGGGCTGAACCTCTGCCTGATATAGGTGTCAATTTTACTGACATTTAATTTCATACTGCTGGGTAGTTTAGTAAGACTGTAAGAACTTAAGAAATATGAACAGGAGTAGGCCATTCGGCCCCTCTGCCATTTAATTGGATCATGGTTGATCCGACACTCCTCATATCCACATTCCTGCCCTTTCCCCATGACCCTCAATTCCCTGACTGATCAAGAATCTATCTATCTCAGTGGTAAATGTACACAAGGATTCTGTCATTACAGCTCTCTGTGGCAAGGAGTTCTAAGTCTTGCAACCCTCTGAGGGAAGAAATTTCTCCTCATCTCAGTTTTAAAGTGACGCCCTTTAATTCTGAGACTATGATCCCTGATTCTAGACTCTCCCATGAGGGGAAACCTCCTCTCAGCATTTACCCTGCAGCCCCTTAAGAATCCTATATACTTGAAGGAGATCATCTCTCATTCTTCTAAATTCCAATGAGAACATGGTTTACTAGTTTGCCAGCATGCTATTGCCAAAAAACATTTTTCTTGAAGTCAAGACTGGGGCAGAAACGTTACCTACCTCAAACGGTGAGAAGCTAACTCAGGCAAGTTGAAGCTAACTGGAAATTAAAACAGCAGCTGCCTGGAGCCAGTCACTGCTCGGCAAACTGAATGGCTAGAGTTCTAGGCAGGCCTTTAGCCTCTCTCTCAACTAACACAGGATGCTGCATCTGTTTGCCTTTTGGCTTCAAAAGGTTACCAACTGAACTGATTGGGCAGCAAGTATGCTCTCCGGCTACTGCCAATTCAGGGAAAATCACAGTCGGGTGACTGACCATGATGCAGTGCTAAAGGTTGGGATCAATACTTGGTGCTGATGTTGGGATCCCAGCCTAAACAGAAAATGTCAAGAACAATTAAAGTATTATTGAGGGATTAGTTCATCAGTATCCATTTTAAAATAATTTTGTTATCATTAGTACCAAGATAACAAGTAATACCTGTACCACACAAGTGTGTGGTATCCTTCAAGTATCCTTCAACATTCTAATATATTACCATCACTGAATTTCCCACTCTCCAAATCCTAGAGGTTATCATTGACCAAAAACTAAACTGGACTGACCGTATACATTGTATGGTTACAACAACAAGTCAGAGACTAGGATTTCTACCACAAATATTTCACCTCCTGTTCTCAAATACCTGTTCAAACTCTACAAGGCATAGTTAGGAGTTTTATGGAATACTCTCCAAATGCCTGGATGAGTGCAGTTCCAATAATACAAAAAACTCAACACCATCTAGATCAAATCAGTCCACTTCATTGTTGTTCCTTCTACCATCTTCAACACTCACTCCCTTCACCACTGATGCACAAAGGCACCAATTGGTACCATCTACAAAATGCACTGCAGTAATTCATCAAGGCCACTTTGACAGCACCTTCCAGATTGAAGACCTCAACCATCCAGAAGGACAAGAGCAGGAGACAGAAAACCATCAGCTGAAAGTGCCTCTCCAAGTCACACATCTTCCTGACTTGGAACGATATCATTGTTCCTTCACTGTTGCAAGGTCAAAATCCCAGAGCTCCCTTCCTAACAGCCTTCTGGGTGCCAGATAAACCCAGGAACGAAGTTCAAGAAAACAGTTCACCACCAACTTCTCCAGGCAGCTAAGGGGGGCAATAAATGCTGGCCCAGATAGCAATGTCACACACATTTCCCAAACGCAAATGTGAAAAAAAAGACAATGGCAATCAGAAAATCCAGATTTGCTGAACCAAAGTGGAGAAGATTTGGTCTGCATCTCATCACAGTCTACAACCCAGAATCCTGTTTACTTCCCACAGTCCATAAAGTCTTCAAACTCAGGTCTGGTGTTACTATATTTCCTAAAAAGGCCGACTGGATTTTTATCTTTAGTTGCATCTTGCATCGTAAACATTTTCTCTCTTTCTAAAATTCCTCCACAAATGTGATATAAGGGAACTCTGGGGAGTTATAAAGCTCAGCATCTCTAAGTAGGTACCTCAGAATACTTCAAAATCTGTAGAATTTAAAATGGAGCTGTGATGATCTACCTTTTCTCAAGAAGTGCACCTGATTCAATCCATTGTCTTAAACGCATATTTACCTTAAACTGTTGCCATTCTTTCTCTTTTTCCAAAGCAATATATCTGTTGTTGACCTCTTCCTGCACAGTTGAAACAAAATCCTCAATGAAATATGCGATTTATGTAAAGAATTAAACAGGTAAATTTATTTGCAATGCTACTTCAAATTACTTCCAACTGAGTTCAAAATTTTTGGTAAAAGTTCATCCCCTGGTAGTGAAATTATTCCAACAAAGTAACAAGATATTAAACAAATAGTTAAATAGAGGCCAACCCCATCTACTGGGATTGAGGTGGTTCAATCCCACCTCAGAAGCTGACAGCCATGGAAGATGAGTCGGAATGTGACCAAGCTGATTGATGATTAATCTATAAGTCCTTCTGATATGCATATGGCAGGTGAGAAAAGCGGCAATGTTTCCTGGTCTGTAAGAACTATGAGGTAACGGCAGTGAAATTGCCTCCCCCACATTAAAAACGCTCCACAAAACGCTTTTTGTCATGAGCTAGCATCATCATTGTTCTGAGTGACACACACACACACACACACACACACACACATGTATGTGTACATGAAAGCCCAACTACTGGAAAGATGAAGCACAATAGAAGTTCAGACATCCAGAAAGAACAAGAAAGGTAGGAGGTCAGTGGTAATGGCACCCAGTACATGTAGCCCACACCACCCCCAGTCCCTGACTCAAAACTTTTAGGACAGTTTTACTGGAAGTGAGTTCACAGAGCCATGAATTTCTTTGACTTTGCATGTATAACACAAGACACAACTCTGTTACCACATCTGTAATAACTGATTTTAACAGTTTTCCTACAACTAACGTCAGACTAACTGGCCTATAATCTGCTGTTTACTTCTCCTGTTCTTCCTTTTCCAAATAGTGCGGTTATGTTTACATCGTCTAATTTGTAAAGACGATTCTAGAATCTAAAGAATTCTTGAAGATCAGAAACACAATATGCATTGTCTCTGTAATGCCGATCATACTGTCCAAGGGATTTCTCAATTTAAGACTCATTAATTCATCCATTTTTTGCAATTTTTCTAAATATTGGTTATTTAAAATTGTCTTTTACTTTCTGCTGCATATCATTTTGTTGAACAATTTAAAGACTTGCTTTTTAGCTGGTTTGATTTCAGTGCTTAATGAAAATTTCTGCTTGCTTATAGAATTTTTTAAAAACCCTATAGTGTATTGATGCCATCCTTACCATGAAAATGGTCACTGACCTGAGTGAGGCTGCCCAAGACTGGTTCTGCTGTTTGTTGAAGGAGTATTTGATTTACTTGGTCAAGTTCTGTGATCAGAAAGAAGTTTCCGAATAAAAGTCTTCAGTCATATCTGCATTAACACTGAATCTCATCGAACAAAACTTCAACAATATGTTACAAATACATTTTCAAAATGAGTAAAATGAAATATCATTTTATATCTCCTATAAAAATTCAATAGGGACTATCAGTGCCTGTTACACACCAAAACACCACAGTAAATAACAAGCAGGCAGGCAATTTAACAGTACCTCGTAAATCACTTGCAGAAATAACTCCAAGTTCAACTTTTGTAGCTGTGATAATTGTACAGGTGAAGGGTTTGTTGAGGATAATACTGATCTCTCCAAAGGATTCCTTCTCCTGTATCTTTCCCATGATGATGTGTTTCACCTCACTTTGCTAGGGAAATAAAAAACAACATACACACATGCAGCAGTAAGTGACACAAATAAATGATTTCTAAAAATAGACAATTAAATGGTTAGGAAATAGAGTACTGGTCAGTTATGGGAGGGGGAAGGGCAGCCATCACTATCAGATAACATATGCAAAGTGAACCTTCATTTTGGCCCTTTATAGGTAGCTGAAAAAGTAACAAAAAAAACCATGGTCCTCATGAGCTCATGCCAAGTCCCATCTCTGATCCATAGGTAAGCTCCAGTTTCATCAAATTCAGGGCTAATATCTCCCGATTCTATGGCATCTGAGCTTCCTCATGAATACCAGGCTAGGGGTGGAGGGGGATTGGCGGGGTGGAAAGGGAGGTTGGACGAAACCGAGATTACTAGCATCCTCTCCATAAACAAGGCCCATCTTGCTCTGACGTATATTTGCATAACTGCAGCATTTTTGGTACAGATGAGAGATCTTACTCCTTAAAAGAAAGCCTTGAAACACTAGGTCTTACACTGTTGTCCCTGTAGCTTTGCCGTGAGTGGGCTATTCAAACTCAAAAAAAATTGTTTCGGACATTGTAAGGAACATCAATATTGCCCAGAATTTTTTAACATAAGCTGTCAGGCAGTGAGCATAACATTCCAGTTGATTTATAATTTCAGAAGTAAAATTACAGTAAAAGGGAACTAAAAAACTCATGTCTTATAGCTTACGGGATGCAGTAATTGTCTATCACTACAGTTCCTTTCCTCAGATATGTACGTTTAAAATTATTCTTCAGGATTGACATTATGAGGCTATCATCTCATCTCTATGATCAAAGGAAGCAGATCTGAGTGTATTAACTCGCATGACATCACTTTATTTCTATTTTAGAAAATGTGTTGCTGAACAGATTGGGACCTCCATGACATTAGGGAAAAAAAAGTGATTTCACCACTGGCAGATTGACAGGTAGATGCTGACACTCAATTTATTATTTTGTCAAGCATAACTGAAATGGAACAAAAGCAGAAGTTTATTTGTATCCATCTTTTCCCAGCAAATCGTTTGGAAACATTTGGAATTTGCACACATTTGATTGCATTCAATCAATTCTATATTTGAAAACAGTGAGAGAAAAATTGGGAGTTTTTTTCTACAAACACCAGATGACTTACATGATAACGTAAGTTATGTGCTTAAGTTGTGTAGAGAAAATACTAATAGAATGATGTTTAATAAATAGTGCGAATATCAGCAAAGTGACAATTATAATGAGGTACAGTTTATTGGATTAGACCATGCGTGATATAGGATACAATATAAAAGATACTTTTACCATATTTCCCAAAGGAAGTTTCACCAGAACTTCTATGTCTTTGAAAATGTAGCAGTAGCCAGATTTAATAAATCCTGCAAAAGAACTGATTTCACCTTCTTTTACTAGAACTGAAAGTAAAAACAATAGATAAATATCAGACACTTGTACTTTAAAATATTTAGGCAAGGTTGTTGTTATAAAAGTTTAATTATATTTTTAATTGATGTACATTTAATTAGTTCATATTTACAATTTATGCATTTCTGTTTTAAATATTCTGTCCAATCTTCTGACCTGCGACCCATCTCTGTAGAATTATGTGCCTTTTCTTTGAGTTTGATACTATGATTAAATTTTTTGGTTTACCACAAATTGCAGATCCATCCCTTAGAATTGGGCCTGACTTCTGAAGCCACTCATGACTGAGCTCTTACAAAAAGCTTGATTGTCACTGGGCACTTGCTCACACTACATAAAGTAGGCTGACCACAGAAACAGAGGTTTGGGGAAGGATAAAAGCAAATTACTGCTGACGCTGGAAATCTGAAACAAACATAGACAATGGTGGAGTATCTCTGCTGGTCTAGCAACACCTCTAGAACTGGAGAGTCGTACTCAACTCAAAACATTAACTCTGTTTTTCTCTCCAAAGTTATTGCCAGATCTGCTGAGTTTCTCCAGTATTCGTTTGGTAAAGAATTTTCCATGTGAGTTTTTGATTAGTCTCAAATGTGATACAGAAGCCAGCACTCTGTGGGAAATAGTGACCAAATCTAACTTTTCCTGGAGCTGATAATTAATAGCCAAGGGATAGATTCTTGAGGCTGGACGAGAAAACAGAATCCTTCCAGCTTGAAAACAGCAGCAGGAGGTCATGTCATGTGAGAGTGATAGAAAGCAAAGACAGAAAGATCTTCAAAATGCAGGCACTCCAAATTTTTAGAAGTTTGATTTAAAATCATGTTGCCTGTTTCCAGACATTTGAAGTAATTTGGACTCAAAATACTGGAACTTATTCAAGTACATTTCTTGCCACTGTCCATGTGGCAGTAGGCTGATACGTTGTTGCTTAGCAGCTGACTGCCTGAGAAATGGCTTTTGCAACTTAGCAGCTAAAGTCAGGTTATTTGAGGTGGAGCTCCCCTACTCTGTGGCCTGCTTTCCGCTGCTGCTGCTGCTATGTACATGAAGTCAGGGACGACCTCCTGGAGTGTTGGCCACCTGGTCTGTAAAAGAAAGGCCACCTCCGGAAATCTAAACTAGTTTTTGCCACTTCTTTGAAATTCTTATTTGATCTCCTTCAATCGGTCTTAAGTGACCCATAATTAGTTTAATTAACGCACGACTGCAACCCCTCCATAAAATGATTCAATAGATTCCTCTCTTCAAGAAAGGAAAAAGGGATAATCCAGGAAACTATAGACTCACATCGGTGGTTGGGAAGCGACTGGTGAGAATTCTTAGGAATAGGATTTATGCGCATTTGGAAAAGCATGGGACAGTTAGCATGACTTTGTGCGGGGCAGGTCATGTCTTACTAACTTGATTGAATTTTTTTTGCATGTGACAAAGGTGATCGATGAGGGTAGAGTTGTCTTTATGGATTATAGTAAGGCTTTTGACGAAGTCCCTCATGGTAGGCTCATCCATAAGACTAAGACGCATGGGATCCTCAATGACTTCGTCACAAAGATTCAGAATTGGCTTACCCATAGAAGGCAGAGCTAGTGGCGGAAGGGTGCTTTCTGGCTGGAGGTCCGTGACTATTGGGGTTCTGCAGGGATCTGCAGACTTCTGCTGTTTGTGATATAAATGACTTGGATGAAAATGTAGATGGATGGGTTAGTAAGTTTTCAAACGATATAAAGATTGGTGGAGTTGTGGATAGTGTAGAAGGCTGTCGAAGGATACAGCGGGATATAGATCAGTTACAGATATGGGTGGAGAAATAACAGATGATGTTTCATCCAGGTAAGTGTAAGATGCTGCAATCTGTATATCAAATGTTAAGAAGAAGTATAGAGTTAATGGTAGGACCCTGAACAGCATTGATGTACAGAGGGATCTTGAGGTTCAAGTCCATAGCTCCCTGAAAGTGGCCAGTAGATAGGGTGGTAAAGAAAGTGTATGGCATGCTTGCCTTTACTGGTCATTGAATTTAGTACAAGAATCAGGGTGTCAGGTTGCAGCTTTATAAGACTTTTGTTAGGCCACACTTAGAGTATTGCATTGAATTCTGGTCACCACATTACAAGAAGGATGTGGAGACTTTGGAGAGGGTGAAGAAGAGGTTTATCAGTATACTGCCTGGATTAGAGGGTATGAGATATAGGGAGAGTTGGAAAAACTCCGATTGCTTTCTCTGGAGTGGCAGAGGCTGAGAGGAGACTTGATTGAAGTCTATAAAATTGTGAGATAGGGTTGACGGTTAGAATCTTTTTCCGAGAGTTGAAATGTCTAATACCAGGGGGCATGCATTTAAGGTGAGAGGGGGAAAGTTCAAAGGTGATGTGAGGGGAAATGTTTTTTTACATAGAGAGTGGTAGGAGTCCAGGATGCGCTGCCAGGGGTGGTGGTGGTGGAGGAAGATACGATTGGGGTGTTTAAAGGACTTTTCGATAAGCACATTGAGTGTACAAGAAATGGAGAGATATGGACTAAGTGCAGGTAAAAGGGATTAGTTTAATTTGGCGTCATGTTCGGCACAACATCGTGGACGGAAGGGCCGGTTCCTATGCTGTATAACTCCTACCTGTTCCAGAAGTGTGTGCTAATATCTCTGCACAGGTTGATTAGACAAATAGGTCAATAATACAAAAAAGGAACAATAATGGAAACCGTACCACCCCTAACAATTTGAGCAGCAGCAGACCCAAAACCAACAAGAGTATCTCAGGAGGATCAAGCTCTTGCAAGCTGTTACTGCTGACATCTGTACCCTCCTGGAACATTTCCAGTGGAACATTTGGGCACACATTACCAGTGGCTGACAAGGTGCCTTTCATTGCACAGTCACCCCACTGAATGATCTCCATCCTTGGTCTTTGCAACTCATTAGGTTGTATAGCTTCTTCTTGACAAAGAGAAAAAGCAGGAAAGTGTGATCATTCTTGTGAAGAGAAAGCAAAGACACCATTTATAGAGTCATACAGTCATCTAGCACAGAAACAGACCCTTTGGTCCAACTTGTTTATGCCAACCAAGTTTCCCAAACTAAACTAGTCCCACTTGCCTGCATTTGGTCCATATCCCTCTAAACCTTTCCTATTCATGTACCTGTCCAAATGTCTTTTACATGTTGTACCTGCATCTACCACTTCCTCTGGCAGTTCATTCCACACATGAATCACCCTCTGTGTGGAAAAGCTACCCCTCAGGTCTCTTTTAAATATTTCTCCTCTCACCTTAAAAATATACCCTCTAGTTTTGAACTCCCTACCCTCGGGAACAGACTTTTGCTATTCACCTTATCTGTGCCCTTCATGATTTTATGCACCTCTATAAGTTCACCCCTCAATCTCTTATCCTCCAGTGAAAGAAGTCCCCAGCCTATTCAGTCTCTCCTAATAACCTAAACCCTCCAGTCCTGGCCACATCCTGGAAAATTTTTTCTGAACCCGCTCCAGTTGATGGATGGAATGGGTGCAAAAGAACAATAGGTTGAGGATGTATGCCAATTTTGGTCACTCAAATGGGAACATGAGGTGTCTGAAAAAAGTCTTCAATAGAATTGCAAAGTGTGTTGATCTGATGAACTTAATTAAAGAGAATGTTGGGCAAGTAGCAGTTAGCTGCAATTTATCCATTGACCTGGCTCTCCCTGGTAAGTGCCAAGTTATCTAGGAAGTAGCCAGATGATTGCATGTCTGAGGCAGCAGGGTCCCAACTGCATTGCTGGAGTTCTGCTGCATTTGTGTGAGGTTTCTGAGTACCCAGGACAATTGTATGTCTGCTCATTCATGTCGATATTGACATCAGGGGGGACTTCTCCTGTCTGGTGTCTGGCAGTACTCTGAGTACCAATGGCCTGAGGCATTTCTTCCTTGACCAGCTGCAGAAACATGACCGTGAAGCAATTCCAACTCCAATTTAGAAAAAACACTCACCAAGGTGTCAGTATCTGAGGCGGGTGATGGGAGAGGGGTTTGGAGAAGACAGCCCTGTCAGTGCTTCTTCTGAAGCATGCATGCGGTCTTCCTCAGATGTGGAATGGGGCATGACTCATGGGGTGACTATCCTGACAGCTGCCATGTAGACACCTCACTGCTACCTTCAGGAGATCAGGAAGTGAATGTCATAACCATGGGATAGAAGTCATGGCACGATAACATTAAGTGCTCAGAGGAGCATAGTGGGAGAGAGCTTCCGGTCCTACTCCAGTCCCCATCCATAACTCTTTCTCTGGTACATTGATAACATCGGTACTGCTTCCCTCTCTTGTTTGGAATTGGGAGAATTTATCAATTTCATTTCCAATTTCCACCTGCTGTCACCTTCACCTGCTCTGACCTTCACTTCCATCATCTCTGACTCCTCCCTTCCCTTCCTCGACATCTCTGTTTGCATTTCTGGGGACGGGCTGGTCACCAATATCCACTACAAACCCACCAACTCCCACAGGTATCTTGACTATACATCACATCCTACTTCCTGTAAAGACTCTGTTCCATTCTCTCAATTCCTCTATCTCCATCACATCTGTTCCAATGATGCAAACTTCAACAAGAGGGCTTCCGAAATGTCCACCTTTTTCCTCAACTGAGGATGCTCCACCACTGTGGCTGACAGGGCCCTCAGCTGTGTCCAACTCGCTTCCCACACTGATTCTCAGACTCTGTCTTCCCTCCCACAACAATGATAGGGTCTCCCAGTCCTCACCTATCATCACACCAGCATCCACATCCAGAGGACCATTAGCTGCCATTTTGGTCACCTCCAGTGGGATGCCATCACCAGACACACATAGATATCCCCTGCCCTGTCAGCCTTCCACAAGGACTGATCCGTCTGGGATACCCTGGTCAGCAACTTCTACACTTGCAAGGACTCCCCACACCTCCACCGATCCTTCCCATGCCCGTCTATATAGATGATTTGGAGTTGGGGACCACATGTAGGGTGTCAAAGT